GAGGGAGGGAGGGAGGGAGGGAGGAAGAAAGGAAGGAAGGGAGGAGGGAGGGAGGGAAGGAAGGAAGGAGGAAGGGAGGGAGGAAGGAAGGAAAGGAAGGGAGGGAGGGGGACCAGCCTCCGTCAAGGCTTCTAGCTGGAAGGGGGAGCCGGCCCACCCGCCCACCCACCTTTCCTGGAGGTCGTGGAGGCTCTGCTCCGCCCTGTGGAGGCCCTCCAGGTCCTTCATCATCTTCTTCATGTGCTCCTTGGAGTAGCGGTTCTGGATGTAGGCGAACCAGCAGCCCCCCACGCCAATCACGATGGAGACCACCAGCAGGAAGTCCTTCAGGTGGTTGTGGCGGGTGACTGGGGGGAAGAGAAGGGGCAGAGCGTCAACCAGGACACCCACCCAGCGCCTCCCCCCCCTCCCCTCCTCGGATCCTCCTTTGATCCTGTCTGGCTTCCGGATTCCAGGCAAGGGAAGGGATCCCCCCATCAGGGAGAACCCACCGTCTCTCCTGGAACAGCCAAGAATGGGGGGGGGGGGGCAGAAGAGGGCTGCTTCTCCATGGGGTTCGCCCCCACCCTCCTCTCTCTGCAGCCCCAGAGATCGAAGTAACAGAATCACAGAGCCGGAAGGGGCCTTGGAGGTCTTCTAGTCCACCCCCCCCGGGCCATTTCAGACACGGGGCTGTCCCGCCTCTTCTTCCAAGGCCTCCAGGGACGGAGCCCTTGGCCTCGAAGTCTTGCTTGGGGGACATATGGGCCCCCCTCAACCATGGGGCTGGCTGTCCCCATGACAACCCCCCCCCTCCTCGACTATATTAACAATCGTTCAGGCACCATCTTGGAACTGAAATTCCATCCTGTTCTCTTCTATTCTAGGATCCTTTTATAAAATGGTTTTATAATTTACATTTTTTTAAAAATCTTAAGTTATTCAAGTTTAATTTTATCATGTTGAACGCCATGCAGAGCCCCTGTCCGAGGGAGACGGGCGCTTGAGAGATATGAAGTATAAATAAATGCGTATCTTTGACCCCAAGCACTTTTGTCAAAATCCCTCATACTTTTGGGAAGCGGTTCGAGCCAGAGGGGGGATCCAGCAGGTTCTGATCAGTTCTGGAGAACCGGTAGNGGTGGACTGGAGGACCTCCAAGGTCCCTTCCAACTCTTGTTACCCTTTGTTCTAGGGTGGACCTTATGGGGAAATGCCTTGGGGGTGGGTGGGTGACAGGAGCTGGACTAGACTAGAGGACCTCCAAGGTCCCTTCCAGCTCTCTTCTCTCCTCCTCCTCCTTCCTCTGTGATGTTCTTCTGGCTGGCTGGGCCTCCCAAAAGCCCCCTGTGGAAGGGCCAGGGAGACCCTCCGGGCCTTGCAGCGAGTGACCTTTGCAGAGAGCCAGGCCGGGGTTGCAAGGAGAGGGAAAGGCCAGAAGGTTAGAGATGAAACTTCTCAAGACGCTCCAGGATCACGGACGGACGGACGGCTCTGCTTAAGCCCTGCAGCCAAGCCCTGTGGCCTGTGTGTGTGTGGGGGGGGGGGGCAAAGTGGAGGCCCAAGCCTGCTTCCATGCAGCCCCCCCTCCCCCCAGCCCAGCCCGTGACCTCCAGCCAGAGCCTGGCAAGGACATCCAGAGCCTCCATGCCGCTCGCAGCAGTCCTAACCACCCCCAGGGAAGCAGGCAGAGGAACCAGCTGTTGATGGGTATATTTAGCTCAGGAAGGGAAAGTGATCCCTGCGAGGTCTGCCTTCCAAGGGCCCCAGGAAGAGGCGGCAGCCGGGCGGAGCTTCTGCTGCTGGTGCCGTGGGGGGGGGGTCTTCTGGGCAGCCCATAGGCTGTTCCTGCCTTCCTTAGTTCCTTCTTTCCCTCCCTCCCTCCCTCCTTCCTGGCACAGCTCAAGCAAGACTTCCAGTTCTCAGTAGGAGACCCCGAGTGGGGCACCTTGGCGCACCTGCCCGCCCACCCAGAGGGCCCCCCCCTCAATGTGGGATCCTCCCGCTTCCTATGTCCACCTAATGGAACAAGGCTCAGAAGAGGAGACTCAAAACTGTCACAAAAGGAGAAAGAACAAAAGTGCACTTTGAAAAGGGGGGGGGGTGAGGGAAGGGGGAGGAAGGGTTCGCCCGTAAGATGCCCACCAGAAAAGCCGGAGGGGGGAACAAGAGGTCAAGGAGCTCAGGCACCCCAAAGGACCACCACAAGACGTCAACCTGCAAAATGACCATACAAGCTGCGAGAACTCCTGCGCAGGGCTCTGGGGGGGCTGGGGTGGACCCCCCCCCGCCTAGCTTGGAGAAGGGGGGGGGTCCAACTCCCGGAATTCCCCAACCCACCCGTGGCCGGTGGGTAAAAGGCTCTTCTCCCCTTTCATCACCCAAGGGTCTTCCCCAAAACTCTACTGTCGTGGATATAAACGGTGGCGGCCTGGGGCTAAAAGGAGGGGGGGGGCCTCCCGAATTCTGACGGGTCTCCTTAGTGACCTGATGGGCAGGAGGAGAAAACCGATCTTGGAGGAGAGGATTTGCAGGGAGCTGATCGGGAGCTCAAATTGGATCTTGGAAAGGCTCCCCGGGACTATATTAAGACGGCAGCTGAGGAGCCCGTCAACTGCGCTTGAGTGACGTGTGGGGGCTCACACACACACACACACAGCGTAGGAGAGGCTTGTCCTTGCCAATGGATGGATGAGAGGGAGGGAGGGAGGGAGGGAACTCTGTCCTGGGCTTCTGCAGTGGTGCATCTGAAGGAAGGAAGGAAGGGTCATCTCGACTGACCGGTCCTACTTCTTCAAGTCCATAAATGGCTGGGATTTCTTGCAACGTTTCTTGAGAAGCCATCAAATGTGAAGAGCGATAACCGAAGGGGATCTTTGGGACATGAACTGTGGGGGGGGGNATTAAGTCTGAAAGCTGTGAATGGGTTCCAAGGGATTAGAGTGCCCTTCCTTTTTTCCTTTTTTCCTTTTTTCAAGAGCCATAGAGAAACTGCAGCCCGTGTCCTGTTTACTTCTGCACTGATGGCTTCATGAGGATGTGATAGAAAACACACACACACTTCCAACACAAACACAAGGACACACCCCAGGCCCTGCAACTAGGAAAGAAAACAAGAGCAAAAAAACCCTCCCACTGCGCTTACAGGTCGTCCTCAACTTACGACCACAATTCCTGCTGCTAAGAAAACACAATTAAGTCAGCTCGGCCTCATTTCACACCATTAAGAGAATCGCTGCACCTATTAAGTGAGCGACCTGGCTGTTAATTGAATCCGAGCCCCCCCCCCCTTGGCTTCGCTTGCCAGGAGGTTGCAAAAGGGGATCGCATCGGCCGTCGTAAACAGAGAACCAGCTGCCAGGCGTCTGGATTCTGATCCCCTGACCCCACGGTCGTGAAAGTGTGAACAACGGTCAGCTTTTTAGTGCCGTCGTAGCTTCGGCCACTAAGCGAATGGCTGTAAGTCGAGGACTCCCCGTAGAGGGGATTTGGCCAAGCCTTCAGCTCCCTTCAGCGCAAGAACAGGGCAGCGTATAAATGTGATCGATGGAATGAATAAATAAGAATTCTGAGTAAGTCCCTGACTTACAACTGGAATGAAGCGAGGCCGTCACTGTCGCAGGTTGCTTGACGGCCGTAACATTTATTTTTTTGTTTGCAAAAGGCAGGAACTGTGTTTGCCACCTGATGGCATTCAAAACTGGGCACAGAGGCCCCGCCAGGGAGGGGCAGTCTTCAAGCATTTCCTCCTCCGTGGCCAACCCAGAAGTGTCAACAGCTGGCTTTCACTGCAAACCTCAAAGAGTTGTGATCACACACACACACACAACCAGTCACACTTCCTCGGAAAGGCCTCAGCCAAGCCGCAGGGAGGGAAGTCGCACGCGCTTCAGGGCTGCCGGGAAATCTACTCCAGCCTTCAGACGGCTTGAACTGACGTCCCCACAACTCCTTGGCCTGCTTGAGTCAAGGGTAAGCAAGCAAGCAATAGAGTTAGACTTCTATACCGCCTCATAGGGCTTTCAGCCATCTCTAAGCGGTTTACAGAGTCAGCATATCGCCCCCAA